TACTGCTACTGCTACTACTACCGCTGCACCTGCTGATGCTGCCGCTGCTTCTGCTGCTGCTACTGCTCTTACTAGCTGTTGCCACCCGTGCTTATGACCGCTGTTGATGCCGTTACTGTACAATTCGTCAATGGTTTGGGAGTCTCTGGTAAGAGGCTCTCCGTTTGTTGGCGGAAGAACGCCGCGAGCGGATGAACGACCGCACGGAGGCGGCGCGCCGGCACAAGGCCAGCGGAACCCGGGGTAGACAGGCTTCAGGATTTCCAGGATTTCCAGGTTTAGGGTTTAGGGTTTGGGGTTTAGCGTGCAGTGTAGGATTTACACATGAGGTCTGAATCATGATCAGCCAAATTCGTGGAGCAGTATTGCTGAGGGCTCCTAGGCTATCTACAGTATGGAAATTCCCAAAATCCTTGTCTAGCGATTAAAGCTTCTATTGTAGGATTTGCGTAGGGTCAACAGGGGCTGTAGGATGGGTGGAAGACCACACAGGTGGGACTTTACGTCGTGTCGAGGGTGGGGGGGACGGGGTTGGTAGGATCGTTTGTCGGGCATGAGGGTAGCCTCAAGAACACAACAAAAATACTTTTCCGTATGAGGCCCAGTGAGAAGCCCCTGAAGCTATTCCGGGCCGAAGCGTATTGAAGAATCCGGCAGAGAGGCCTGCTCCACCCAGCAACGGAATCCTGAAAGTATAGAGTGTAAATCCGAAACCAAGAAGGCTAAAGCCTATAGCTTACATCCTAAAGCATAAACCCTAAAGCCTTTCTTCCCCAAACTCAAGGCCCCACCCACCCTCCACCCTCCAAAACGCCCCACCACCCTCCCAGCCACGGAGGACCTCGAGACGTGGACGCAGGATCGGCTCCGGAATGTGGAGACCCTGGCCAATGAGTCGTCGGGTGGCCCAGCGAAACTCAACCCCGGTGAGGGTTCGGGGTTGGGGGCTTAGGGTCTAGGGCTTTGGGTTTCGGGTGAGATGGATTTAAGGACGTTTGAACGGGTAGTTGCAAGCTGCATTAAGAGCAGGGTACGTGGTAGCTGCAGTTATTGATAGCGACTAGGCTAAGCCCCAAGTAACCCTAAGAGTGAACTGGCTGAGGGCTTTGGCTTCTAGCATCCGTTTTGTCATATTCCTATTCCTAGTCTTGTTCTTCTTCTGATTCATTGTTCTTATTTTGTAAGTAAGACTAGGCCCCAAAGCCGCAAGCAATTCCACGACGGTGAAGACGCCGGGAACTGCCTCCGGGATTTGGGGGGCAGAGGATTAAGCGAAGCGGGCGGAGGGGTTTGAGGTTCAGGGGTTCATTATCTAGAGAACTGGGGCGCGGGGGGCTTCAGGGTTTACAGCTTTGAGAGTCTGGCTTGTGGGTTGTTCGAGCATCTGCTCTAGGCACGAAGCATCTCCAGGATTCGAACTCCCGAAATCCTAGACTTTGCCTCGATCTTGCTGAGGCGGGAAAGCACGGCCGAGATGAAAGCATCGGTTCACGAGGATGGGAGCGGTGGGTACCAACCTGTCTTCGAATGCCAGCACTACGGTGGTTTTCATTGCAATTGCCATCGCCATCCATGTTTCGCCATCTCCGTCATTGGCCTAGTCTTCGTTGTGCTCGTTGTTATCCTTGTTCTCTCGTCCTGATTCTCGCCGTCGTATCCACTGCCGTCGACGTGGTCAGCGTCATCATCATCATCATCATCATCCCCATCCTCCTCCCCATCATCATTCCCATCCTGACCCTCATCATCCTCATCACCCTTATCATCATCGTCATCATCATCATCATCGTCATCATCATCGTCATCATCATCATCATGATCATCAGCGTCAGCGTCAGCGTCATCGTCATAATCATCGTCAGCGCCATCGTCAGCATCAGCGTCAGCCATCATCATCATCATCATCATCGCAAGATTGATTTCGCAATCCCAGTTCATTTGCATTGTAACTCTTTTCGTGATTTTGGGGTCATGTTGGTTTTGGAGCTTCGGGGGCTTGGGTTTGTGGCTGTCGAGCCTAGACTCAGATTTTGTGAGGGTATTGGCTTTCCAGATTCAGATTTTGTCCATATGCATCGATTGAGGGTTCTAGCGTTCCGGGGTTGAAGTTGCGACACTCGGGGCTGACTGCAAAGCCTCCAGGCCTTGAAGTCTAGCTAAGCCCTTGAACCCGAGCTCTAGGGCTCGGAGACTTCTGACACCTTGAGGCCTAAAACCTTTCACCATGACCATTGCCCCTGAACACTAAAGGCCCCGAACCTCAAAACCTAAGCCCCTGATCCTAAACCCGCCCGAGAGGCTAGGTAGTAGCCTTTCTCGCAACCCATCGTAGCTCGAATTTGCAACCTTTTGTCACCCCATAGCAGCCTGACTCCTACATCCCTATGAGGCACCGCAAAACTCGCAGGAGCAATTGTAAAACCCGATAGAAAAGCTTACGTGAGCAGAAAAATGCTACAAGCCTTCAAAATTATAGAACACCGCATAAAAGCTAGAAAGGGACCCTTCAGGCATAGGATACCTCTTGTATATATCCAGAAAGGAACCCCATTTTTCGAGCCCTCAGACACCTCAGGCGCTGCAGATGGGAGATCTCTCGGAGCCGGGATCTCGGAGCTGCGGCTTCCCGGGCCCCCAATGCCAGGTAACTACTACCACCACTACTGCTACTGCTACTGCTACTGCTACTGCTACTACTACTACTACTACTAATAATCAAGGGCGTCGGAAGAAGGTGTTAAGGGGGGTTTATAGAGGGGGTTTGCAGGGGGTTTATAGAAGTTTATAGAGGTTGATAGGGTTTTAGCAGGGAGAGTTAGTACTGGTATACCGGTATACCCTTCTAGTCCTGGCATCGCCATGCGGGAATTTTCCAGACCCCTTATCGAATCTTGAAGGCACCCGCATTAATCAGGAAATCACTGTAAACAAGCTCAAGCTTTAGTCTTTCAATGAAGGCCGCTAAACCCTAAACCCTAAACCCTAAACCTTAAACCTTAAACTCTTAAACGTTTTGGGGTTGGGCTTCCAGGGCTTACGGTTCGAAGTTTTTCGCTTGGGTGCGCTTGACGAAGTCGGCCCGCCAATAAATTTAGCAGAAGCCCTCGCACTCCTGTGCCGGAGCTTCCCTAAACTTTGCGGGGCTTTGGGTTTAGGCTTCAGGGTTAGGCTTTAGGTTTTAGGGTTAAGGTTTGGGGTTCGGGGGCAGTAGGGCCTTGGGGTTTCATAAAAGGACGGAGCAGTCACTAACCTCCCAAGCCCCTGAACTCTAGCGGAGCGTGTAGAGACGCGACACCTCAGACTGGAGACGGTAGAGCCTGAATCCCAAACATAAACACACCCTAAACCCTGAACCCGAAATTTCTCAGCCCTTCAAGCGGCAATCCTAAATCGCCAAAACTGATGCCACTGCAATAGACAAGAAATGCAAACTCTCATTTTAGGGTCTAGGGTTTAGGGTAAGAATCTGCTCGTTACGGTTATGGAATAGCTGGAAATATGTTCGCCTACAGTCACTCAATAATTAATACCAAAACAAACACAAAGACAAACAAAAACAATCAAACAAAAAAACAAACAAGCAAACAACCATAT